CTCTCTCTCTCTCTCTCTCTCTCTCTCTCTCTCTCTCTGTGTGTGTGTGTGTGTGTGTGTGTACCCGTGTGAGGGCACCCTCTATTAAGAATCTTCCGATCTCTCAATGAGCAATCCTTTATCCGTCTCTCTATCCATATCTCTCGCCCTCTCTTCGCCTCCCAATCGGCCTGTACATCAATCTCTAACCATTAGCCTGCCCAAGCAGCCCAACTCCTTAGCCTTGGCCGTGATCACCCATCCTCCACTCTCTCTCTCTCTCTCTCTCTCTCTCTCTCTCTCTCTCTCTCTCTCTCTCTCTCTCTCTCTCTCTCTCCCTCAATCCGTGACCCCCCGTTCCCACGCAATCGTGCACACTGTCCCACCCAGCTTTAAGCACCATGTGCCGCGTCGTTCAACAATGGGCCCAAGCCGTCCAACACCTTCCAAACCCACTGTCATCAGGAGCTCTGTACAGTGATGGAATTGGAACCGTGCCCACCGCGTGCAGGAACGTCCTCCACAATCACGAGCGATCTCCGAGCCACGATCTCCTCTCTATTTTCACTCCCCGATCAGTGTAAACTACGTTTCGATCCCCTTACCTCTCCTCAGCCCGCTCGGAGGGGAAGGGAGGGGATTCTGACTCAACTTAGTGAAACCCCACCACATACTATATATATTGTATTGTATGATTAAATTGCTGTATTACAGTATATATAGTCATTTCATAACCAGTCAATTTCATTGGCTACATATCATTTTATCAGATTATAAGACCATTATATTATTAGATTAGATATGACCAAGCAATTCCCATTCCCAAGCCACAGTCTTCGACTCCTCCATGGCACCTCCTCTTCCTTCTCCTCCCTCTCCTCCTCCTCCTCCTCCTCCTCCTCCTCCTCCTCCTCCTCCTGCTCTTCCTGCTCTTCCTGCTCCTCCTGCTCCTCCTGCTCCTCCTCCTCCTCCTACTCCTCTCCTCCTTTTCCTGCTGCTACTGCTGGCGCTGCAGATCCACTTTAACGGGATCGCCAATCCGATACTAGATTGACTCTCCACTGCCACTTGATCTCTTCCACCCACCGGTCTCCGCAATTGGTTTTTTGAGCCGCAACAAAGCAAACCCGCCAATCGTTAAGTGAGGAGCAGAGTCGACCAGAGAAGTCCGTCATCCACCACAACGAAGGGAAAAAGAGGAGAAGGGTGTAAAGACAAGGTCGGTGATAGGAAGTTTCAATGAATCACATCCATCCATCCATCAATCAATCAATCAATCACATCAATCAATCTCGACAATCGTTACCACCAGATTACAGTAATTCACCAGTGCTAATCCATCCATCAATCAATCACATCAATCAATCAATCAATCAAATGCCTTCCCTTGCTCGTTTCCTGTCAAAGTATGATCGACACACACAGATATCGGTTGATTGACCCTGCTGCCTTGGCGCACCGATATCGGTTGATTGACCCTGCTGCCTGCAATGAACTCCCAAGCCTCCCGGCCATCTATACGGCTTTCTTCTAGCAATCTAACCGCCGCCAAGTTGAACCTTTTTTTCAGGAGGACAAGCTCTGGTTTCCCCTCCAGGCGATGGCGGACGACTCCCTCGTCGTCGTCTTCGTCTTCGTCGTCGTCGTCGTCGTCGTCATCCACCAGTGTCCTCACCTCTCACCTCACCGTTCTCCACCTACCACCTTCGTCCCTCTCAGGCTGAGGGGGTGGGGTTGGGTGGGTTGGGGTGGGGTGGGGTGGGGTGGGGTTCCTACGGTAGGCTGCAGTTCCCGGTTCCGCCAATGGAACCTTGAAGTTCCCAACTTTTTCACTACAAACGTTGTTGCCCCTGGGGGTGGCCCTGGGGGCCCTGGGGCTAATTCAACGTCCCGCCCACCAAGTCCGGCGATTGCCTGAATTTGCCGCCGTGGTTTTCTGCTGGCAGACTGAGGTGGAGGTGGTTTTCCAACTTTTCCAATTTTTCCCGCTACAGCCGCGGCGGGATCAAACTCTCGTCTAATGGCGGGCGGGCCCCTCACCCCACTCCTCTCTCCGCGAAAATGCGACGGATCAAACTCTCGTCTAATGGCGGGAGGGCGCCTCAGCCCGCTCCTCTCTCTCCGCCAAAATGCGACGGATTGGCAAGAGACTGAAGAGAGAAAATGAATTAAAGCGCTTAGGGCCGCGCGTGTGCAAGAAAAAAAGACGGAGAGTGAAGCTCCCGCTAGAACATGGAAAGATGCACCGCCATGATTTTTGTCGTTCGTGCATGTCGAAAGTAGTGGAGCGAGGGCCTTAGTTTTTCTTTTTCTTTTTCTTTTTCTTAAAAGTTATATTTTGGCCTTAGGCCTATAAGAGAGAAGACAAAAAAAAAGCAAATGTTTGTTGAACGTATCTTGCCGTAGAACGCGGCGACAAGCGTCGACCATTTTAACATTTGGCAAGAGTTGACCGACGAGGCTCGGGAGGCCGGCCCGAGCCCGCCCGAGCCCGAGCACTGCGAGCAGTGCCGCCGCAAGTCCCGGGCCAAGGTCCCACTTTCGCAAATTAGGAGATTTCGGCCGTCGATCTTTGCTATCTACGGTCAGTATCTCTTAATAATTCGTGCAAGTGGGACCTAGCACCCGGTCCTCCGCTTCCCGCTCTCTCGCTCTGTGTGTCCCGCTGGCAAGCGTCCCTTCTGTCAACTGGATGGCGTCAGATAAGCTACGATCGCGTCAAACATTTCGACTGCAGAGGAATGACTCTACGTCCAGATGCAAACGTTTCGATGCTTACCTTTCTTTTCTTTTTCTTTTTTGTTTCAGCAATTATTATTATTATATATCAAACAAGAAAAGAGGCCGGGGACCTCACAATTCAACCAGGTTGGTGCCCTTATTCTACTAAGTACTCGACCATTCTGCAAATCTAACTTTCTTCCCCTCTACCATTGCCAACCTCCCATTTAATGCCCAAGTGTTTCTGAACCAACTCAGTCCCGTTCTCCGACCTTGCCCTCTTGGCACTTTCCTTTTCCAATCTGTCAGCCGGTTTAGCTTAAGTGCTCAACATCTGCACAAAACCATAATGCCTAAACTACCTAGATAAGGGTCCATGCGGCACCATGGGCCAAATCACAGAGTCAATTATACCGGAGTTGTTTCCAACCTTCAATTACATGCCACTTATAACAGGGTCTTCCCTCCTATGTCTAAAACATTCACATAACAACATCTCCTTCTTGCCTTTAGGCTACTTGCCAGAAAATTACGAATTCCTATACTACTTATGCAGGCCTACAAATGGCCTTACACCGGCCTTACTACGACCGGTTGGAAATCCACAGTTCCAGAAACTTATGACACTCTCCTCCCACCTCCCCCCTAGTGGTCTACCGCGACCGAGAGCAACCGCCTGTCCTGGTAGATACCTAAAAAAGAAAGCACCAGGCCAATAAAACCAAACAAACCAGAAAAGGAACTATCCTACCCAGAGAGGGAGAACCAAGGGGCAGAGTATGAATTCCCTGCAAAAGAGCTCTGATATCCTTCTCTAAAACCCCAGAACGGTCCTAATTGCACAACCACTTCGATATTGTGACGCCCAACCTCACACCCAGCGCGACTTCCTGATCGGAGTGAGATGTGGGCCTGGAAGTGCGAAAAGGGGTGTGCCAAGGATTTTTGGGGAAAGTGGAGTCCCAGGTCAGAACTGAGATCTCCTGTGGCAGGGTTCTTCGGGGGCACGAGTGCAATTTGGCAGAGAGGGCGGGTCGCCTCTGGTCACGAAGCAGATGGTACGTGTGGGTTGCTCAGGGCCGGCCGAGCCATTGGTTTCGGGGACGGTGGTTTGCGGGAGGGTCCCCTCGGGGTGGATGGGGTTCCGACGACTCAGGTCGTCCGGGGTTGCCACGTGGTGCTGGCCGTCGCGCGTTTGGGTTGGGCCTCCGGGACTCCGGGGTCCTCTGACCGCCGGGTCGTCGGCAGTTTCCGCAGGGCATACTGGACCAGTATGGGGCTATGGCCGGCCACGGGACGATGCTGAGTTGGTGATACGGAAGGAGGAGGCGAAAGGGAGGGAAACTGGTGGTGATAACGACGAATCCGGGGTGGATGAAGTAGTAGGTGTGGTCCGGAGAGGGGAAGTCAGAGCACCGGGGGGCGCTAGTGGTGACGCAGTGAAATTCCCGAGGACACAGTCGGTTCTCGGTTAGGCAAGGGTATCTCTGTCGGAGGAGTTCGTTTATCCAAGGGGTGAAGTAATCCGGGTCGTATGATGAGTCGGAATTCCAGGATCGCGTCATTGTGTCATTGCGGTGATCCGTGGTGAACGAGATCGCCGCGTGCGAGCACGTGCAGGCCACGCGAATTACGTCAGGCTTGCGCGTGTTCGTGCGGGACGACTGCACCGTTGCGGAGCCCGGGATAGCCCCGTCCAATCAGTCAGTGCGCCTGTGATCGACGCCCGGGGATACGTGTAAGTGCGCACTCAGATCGCGTTTTACACGTGTCTCCGGGCGGCGTTCGCCGAGCCCGGCATCCGATCGTCTAATCACTCCGTGCTGTTTTGAGTATGCAAGATGCAACAACCACAATCAGCTCAATCAAAATACACGCGAAGACAAGGACAGGATTACCGATTGCACAAAATTCCTATTCTACTTACGAGTGCATCAAATGCGACAAACAAAAGCAAAGACAAGAATCCTGTAGAGATATAAGCAGCCCCTCATGATATCCATACATCCATTCGTTCAGCAGCATACACATAGTGCCTTGGAGACAAGGTGTGAGCAAAAAAAAAAAAAAAAAAAAAAAAAAAAAAGTAGTCCTGATTCCGAGAAATAGAAAATGGGCAGATCGCCCTGAGCCGAAATCAAAATTTATGTACACGAGACAGGAGGGAGAAAAGATAAAAGAACAGCAAAACTGCGTCCATCACCCTCAACTCCCTCTTCCTCTCTCTCTCTCTCTCTTTCTTTGATGCGGACAGTCCGTTGTCGCGCACCAACCCACGAAGCCGTCACCCTGCTTAGTCCTCCCGCACCCGTTAGGTTCGCCCACGCCCACAGTCCGTCGTGGCCCGTGTCAACCCCACGCGTTTGGCACCAGCTCGTCGGGTCGCCCGACTCCTGCTCTACTCACCTCTTATTTCGCTCGTGTGCCGACCCTCTCTGATCGCGCAACCCCGAGCTTCCAACTGCGGGTTAAGAGAGCTAACCAATCGCGCAGCCGGAATTTATAGCGTGCATGCATGCGCGAAGAACACGGGATTACCAAGATTTAGAGGGGAGATTAGCGAGGGAGTGCCTACGTTTTGCATGACCGGGCCGCGGCGTGGGGGACATAGCCACTCTCCTTGCATCGATCTGAGCATGCAGTCCGTAGCTACAAAAATGCGGCAAAAGAAAGAGAAGGAGGGCGGGAAAGGCAAAGAGCAAGAAGAGAGATACAGTTACAATGGCGCCAACCCAAAATTACAGTTACATGTCCGATTAAAGGCGCCGATTAATCAGAATTCCGTTGGAGCCGCATAAAGGAACGCGCAAACAAAAAGCACTGCGCGGCAAAAGAAAGTCATAATTACAAAATTTCTAAATTCCCAACTAATGCGAGAAAGCAAGAGTACAGGTTCCGAGAGGAAAGTCCGCAATTCCGAGAGCCATCGGGGCTCGACAAAATTCGAAAGAGAATTCGAAAAAAAAAAAGAAAATTCAAAAAAGAACGAAACAAATTCTTGCGCGATGTCCATGCCCAAAAAGTTCTGAAACCGATCTAGAAAAGAAATGACGTCAATATTTATTAATCGCGCGCTCGTCGGCGCGCCGCAGACACAGCCGATCAATCAATCGGTCGCCTCGAGACTCGCCCGGCTTCGAACCCAACCATCCGAAAAGAGGCGACGAAAAAGACAAAGAAACGAGGACACTGATGCAATTTCTCATTCATCCTAATCTCCCGTAATTGGCCCAACCTTCCCAGCTTAGGACCCCTCATTGCAACCGCGCAGAAAATCACGCGCTACAG